CTGTTTTTTCACTAACATTTACTAAAGCTTAACGTTGTATAAGGTATTCAAGTGCAGAAAATTCACTACGTAACGTTACTCTATGCCATAAAATTTCATAATGTGCAACGTAACGTTTCAAACGTTAATACTTTTGATGCACACTATCGTAACGAAAGCTAAAATATAGAAAAATCAAAACGTTGACATCTCTACTCTACGTATTGGTATTGGTGGTCAAGAACCATGTTCTTTTTTGGCTGAATCGTGAGTATGGTTGGTTGTTTGGTGTTATCTATGTACATTAACAGTTTCTCTCCTATCTCGTGGACAGCCTCCCTTGGAGGCTTCCCTACAGGTCCCTTAAAACCTCTCATAGCGTTGACTTCTGAACTTGCCAAGCTGGCGCCTGGGAATCTCACGACCCCCAATCCCAATCAGTCACAAAAGTTCAAGAAGAGATCATCCCAAGGACATAATTCCTTGTAAACCACGACTGTTGGTCTTCCAACATTGTGGTAGATTTTCTCAAAGTTTTCTCTTTTCTTCCGCGAGTACTCCATTTGTTCAGTGGGGTTTGTTTTTGATTCACCTATGTCGATAATCAAGCACGTTACTCCTCCGTCTGCACCATATAAGCTGCAGTCAAATCTCACTTTCACTCCGTCCTTGGCATCTTCATACTCGTCCATGTGCACATCACCTATCACCAGTCTATGTTTCTTTTCATAAGCTTTCATGGAGTGGTGCTCGAATACCTTAAACCTGTTGTGACGGGTAGCTTCACCTTTCTCATATGTCCTGAAAACTAACGTAGTCACATGTTTAACAAGTTTCTCTTTCAGCAGTCTCTGGGTTAGGCCTCCAGTGCCTCCTCCAAGCTCTAATATGTTACCTTCGACGTGCAGACCATACTGCATCAACCAGTCCATCTTATAGAATCCTTTCCCTGCCACTCCAGGTTCAAGAATGTACTTGACTCGATATTGGTCACGATAATCATTAAAGATTTCCTTCGTGAACTTACCTATCCTCTTTTTGTGGGTGTACATAGCGTTGTCGAACATGGGTTTTTGCTTCAGAGGTTCAGTCCCTTGTGGCACTGTATCGTCCTTTAAGAAGCTGTTCCTACAAGCGTTCACATTTTCGACGGCCTCATACCAGTATTCTATAGCCACTATGGCTGTGTAGAATAGTGCGCACATCCAATCACTCAAGGCTAATGCCATCATTTCAGATGGTACAGCGCAATGAGTCATTGGTGATATTAGAGGCATCCCTGGTACATCCTTCAGCGCTTCAAGGACTTCTGAGCAAACTATATGTGTTGGTGCTGCGACATAGATCATACCAATAATTGTCACCCTCAGACCTAATCTTTGCAGCTACACATTTCTGTGTTTTGCCTGATCCACATGGACCTCCATGTATTTCAAAAGTTCCTCTCTTCCCCTGGTGGTCTGCTGGTATTGGTCTCATTCCTATAGATTCACTAAAGAAACTGTCTCTAGCGTCTCCTGTGAGGACTGTTCTCGAGCTTCCTACCACGGATTGATTNCCAGGTCTAGAATATTTGTTGGGGAACCGGACTCTAGGTACGCAAACCCAGCCTAGAATATTTTGTTAGTTAACCAAACTCTGGGTATGCAAACCCAGTCCTGAATATTTTTGTTAGTGAACCAGACTCTAGGTAAGCAAACCCAGCCTAGAATATTTTGTTAGTGAACTGAACTTTAGGTAGGATAACCCAGCCTAGAATATTTTATTAGTGAACCGGACTCTAGGTAAGCAAACACAGCCTAGAATATTTTGTTAGTGAACCAGACTCTATTTATGCAAACCCAGCCTAGAATATTTTGTTAGTGAACCAAACTCTGGGTATGCAAACCCAGTCCTGAATATTTTGTTAGTGAACCAGACTCTAGGTAAGCAAACCCAGCCTAGAATATTTTGTTAGTGAACCGAACTTTAGGTAGGATAACCCAGCCTAGAATATTTTATTTGTGAACCGGACTCTAGGTAAGCAAACCCAGCCTAGAATATTTTGTTAGTGAACCAAACTCTAGGTAAGCAAACCCAGCCTAGAATATTTTGTTAGTAAACCAAACTTTAGGTACGCAAACCAGGTCTAGAATATTTGTTGGGGAACCGGACTCTAGGAAAGCAAACCCAGCCTAGAAAATTTTGTAAGTGAACTGGACTTTAGGTACGCAAACTCAGCCAAGATTAATTTATTAGTGAACCAGACTCTAAGTAGTCGTACACAAACCCAGCCTAGAATATTGTATTTGTGAACCGGGCTCTAGGCATGCAAACCCAGCCTAGAATATTGTATTTGTGATCCAGACTCAAGGTAAGCAAACCCAGCCATAGAATATTTTGTAAGTGAACCGGACTCTAGGTACGCAACCCCAGCCATAGAATATTTTGTTAGTGAACCGGACTTTTGGCACGCAAATCCAGCCTAGAATAATTTATTAGTGAACCGGACTCTAGGCACGCAAACCCGGAATATTTTTAAAAGGTTTGTTATAAGAGGTTCGTGTCAAATTCACAACAATATCCTTTATATCTTGACCTTTTTTAAATTTTTTTCTAAAATTGTATTGCCAATTGGATTTCTCTATGAAAGGAAAGGTAGAATGCATTTATGTTATGCCAGGTAGAGAAGAAAATAAGGAGGTAAGGAGGTAAGGAGGTTTTATACTTGTAGATGAACAGTCGATCGATTTAAGAAAAACTTTTGGCCTTAAAAACTAAGAAAAATGGTGGTAGTAAATTTATAAAAGAAAGATGAAATCTTCTTTAAAGAAATGAAAGACCCCTTCAGAATGAAAATCTACCTGCATGAAGAATATGATAGCTCCCATTACACAGAGGAAAAAATGATTAAGGTTTTCTTTCAGAGTTCCGAGCTCCAACTCTAGAGAATCCTGAATAATGAAGATATTCAATTTAATCTTTAATCTTTTCATCCTAGAAAAAAAATTCCAGGAATGATTAAAAATTCGACAGTTTAATAAATCAAGATGTACATTGTACATTGTATGTACATCATGCTCAAGAAAAAGTGATAAACTAATGATAAAATATGATATAATATCATTTATATATTGTACAATATTTCACAACTCAGACGACTTTTATTCCGTTTAATTTTGTTACAACTTGGATATATCTTGCTATTTAAGTGTTTGACAAAATCCAATAAATCTTGATAGTTGGGAAACGATTTAAAGGATATATTTGTTCTAAAATATAGGAAAATTATTAAAATATGAATAATTTGTTATTTTATTAATAATATTAAAATCTAATATCTCGAGTCATGCGCAATTGTGCATCTATTTGTTTTCTAAGACAGCGATTAAAGATTAAAGACGACATTTAAGTCGTCTCTCAACAGAAATGTTTAGGAGGTGAGGAAAGATGAAAATACTATATGATAAAAATAAAAATTCTGTCTCTAAAGTTTCAAAGGATCAGTTTCTTTTATAAAGTTGTACCATTTACTATAGTGTTTGAGCGCCAAAAATTACTGATAAGAAAGCACTCTATAGGTATGGTCGGGGATGGGGGCTTCTTTACCAAAATCGTACCTGCCCGGCCCTATTCCCATGGCCGTCGGCCAGACTTGGATAAATTTTGCTCAATATAACTTATTAATATTTTGTTTCCTCAAAATCAAGTTTTAAAGTGAAAGTTTTATACCTGACGACGGAATGGTTAAACAACAGAGAATGGTTTGGCCAACCCCCCCCCCCCCCCCCCCCCCCCCTTCCTTCAGTTTAGAGTATAACTTACTGAAGTTGTAGAAGAATAGTTAAATCCTTTTAAACTGTGCTCAGTACTTTGCTCATAACTCATTTTGGTGCTATACAGTATTCAATATCTCAACTATAAATAGAAGATAATCGATTCTAAATTTTACTTATATTTTATATTACATGCATATAGTAAACAGTAAAAAAGAGTTGCAGATTTTTTGCCTTTAACATTATAACTTGTACGTGTATTTTTAGCAATAAACTATATCTTGTCTTATCTTGTCTTAATTTGTTAAATTTGATATCATCGTTTTCAATACATCCCATAATGTCTGCGATTCATTTATTGAAATGGTGAATTACTCTCCACCATGGTTGTTTAATTAAGGTTGGATACTCTAGATGCGCTTCAATGTACGACAAATGTCGTCTTTACAGCAATGGACACTCAAAATCCTCATATGACGTAGCTAATTATTGATGAAATGACAACGTTGCTGTTGAGATGGTGGGAGGGATTTTCCGTACATTGGAGCGCATTTAGAGAATCCAACCTTAATAAACAACCTTGCTCAACAGTAAACGAAAGGGATTTGCCATTCTCTGTTGTGCTAAATGCCCTGCAAAAACTCCAAAACAGAGATAGGGGGACCGAATTTTGTAGATCCAGAAAAATAATTAATTTATTATTTATTTAGGGTAAGGTTGGTTAAGACACTTTCTGGGCCGAGCGCTGCGGTTAGGACAGGCTAGAGGGCCAAGCGCTGCGGTCACATGTCTTACATTTAAGACCCCACCAGCTGCCAGTTTCTATGCAGGCATCCCACAGATATTATTTTTCTGGATCTACAAAATTCAATAACCCTCTCCTCCCCAGATTTCCGTACGGGGCACTCGCGCACAACAGAATATGGCAAATGCCTAAACGATACTTATATATCTTTGGTTATTACTATCAAGATGGTATAGCATACAAGGTGGGGGGCGATAGGATTCGCGTATATTTATCTGTGACGTATTTCGACTAAAAATACTCCAGTTGAAAATATGGTTGTGTGTGGTCATTTTTAAATAATTATTTAGAGATGGTTATTTATCATCTGTTTGTTGTTTACGATTTTTGTTATTGTTGTTACGCAGAAACTAGTTCCTCTGCAGTCCAAACACATGACCGTAAAGTGATTGCACTACAGATTACTTCAGTACGCAATCGAATGCTTAGTTTAGGGTGCAATTCATTATGAGAGAGAACAAGAGTAGAGGATCTTACGGTCAGGCCCGACGAAATACAGCACGATAGTTGTCCGTTTATCTTAAGGTCTTTAGGAAATCGCCGAGGTTGCGTAATAACTATTTAAGAAGTAAGGCCTATACAATGGTACAACTGTAGAATAGGAAGACAATATTCAAGCAATTTTATGTGTGTTTGATATTGTTAAAAACAAATAGTTTTAATTTTAGTTGGAAAATCAATTAGATATATATATATATAGATAAACAGATAGATATTTACCGCTGAAGCACATAATTGTTCACAGATATACTTTTTAAACAAACACTTTAAAGACGGGATTTGCCAATACAATATTTTTTTTCATTTTCATTGGACTGGACTACATCTGTGAACTTGCTTCTTTTTAAGCCTAGTCATACATCACAGTTAAAACTATAAAAACAACCCCTAAATCCCCCTCGCCTTAGCTTCACTCTCATCGATTCTGTTTTGTATCAATAAATATGTTTAGACCAACATAAATAAAACACTAAAACGTTATTCTTGATATTTAATAAAGCTTATCTATACCTTTACCACAAACATTTGAAAATGTGAAGATATATTTTAGAATATTAAAGAGACTGCATTGAATTAATTTTAAGTTTCTTAAATTTAAGGAATGCAATTCAAATTCACATTAGTTCCCTTAATACTTGTGGGCTTAAAATCAGAGTTCAGAAAGTTTTAATACTTCTCATTTTTTTCATGAACTGAGATCTAAACTAGTCAAGAGTACTGTTGTGAATCAGACATACCACTCACCCTCAACTAAGCTTTCGGTGTGTACTACTTTGCTGTACACTGCTCAAAGATATAGCAGAGCTTAATATCACTTACAATTACGTCATAAGTCCCTTTAGTTTCAATAATAAATAGTTATAAACCTCAATAAGCTTAACAATATCCAGTTTAAACTGAAATAAACTTAGACATGCTTTAAATTGCATGATTTTAGTTTGTTTTTAATACACACTGCACTTTTAAAAGCATGTCTGCTTGTATTTATAAGATTAAATGTGTTTTGATTGAATATTTAGTAAACCCTGTTATATTTTCATGGTTAGAATGGATATCAACAAAAATCATTTATAAAGCAAAGGAAGGTCCAGACTCCAGAACTGGCTTGAAAATAACAAAAATCTGTATAAAGGTATTTAAAAACCCTTAAAACTCTGTAAGCTCTGTCAGATTACAAGTTCAGGATGAATGGGAATGGATGGTTTTCACTTTTTTGAAAAAAAAACAATTGTTTCATTCTAAAAATGACGAAGAAAACGGAAAACTGAACGATCTAAACAAAATAAAAAATGAGGTTGCAAGGAAGAAATACAAAATTCTTTGTTAACTGAAGTAAAGTGTTGAGGAAATTGGAACTCCTTCGTAGGCGATAAATCTGTTCCATCTTTGTTCCATCCTCAAGAGACTAAGAGCTGCATCTATTCAGAGAGCAGGGCTAATTTTTATACTATACGTTTACATCATAGTTACATTGTAATATCAATTTCATTATGATCGGGTATTAATTAGTCCTATAAGAGAAACAAGTGTGAAGTGTTTGGTTTTATATAAACATACTTTGAATAAAACAACAACAAAGATAGGAAAAGATTTATTTATTTATAAGAACTACAATAAATTTATAATGTTATTGAGAGAAGTTAATCTGATTATTGCTCTATAGTTATGTTTACGATGTAAATATATGTATCTAAGTTTACAGGATTTAAATGCTCCAACAGGTCAGTCATTTAAAAATTGTTACAAAAAAGTGTAACACGCAAACTATAATCAGTGAATTGTATATACAAGTCATAAATATATATTATCTTCAAATTTTTTATTGATTATTTATTTTATTGAATAACTTTCGGTGACTTTTTTGCTTTTGTTAAATGCACAAAGAGAAGATTGTCTCCGGTAAGCAATTATAAAAAATACAATTGATAAAGTTTTTGTTGGTTAAGGGACTCTAGGCTTTATTTAAGCCAAGATAAAAGAGCCATTTACCACATTACCAAGTTTAATAAAGAATATTTTCTAAAGTACCAATAAAATGTAAATTTTCATGAATCCGTAAAGAAATTGAGTTTTTGTCACAAACTCTGATTTTCTTATCCCTATATCTTTGCATTTGAGTGTCGGAGACCTTAGATATTTCAAACTATGAATCATTTTAGATCAAATAATGATAGTTTGAAATATCAAAGGTCTACACCATCAAGTTGAAATAATATGGCGATTGTAAAATCATAATTTGTGGCAAAAAATCAGTTCCAACGTTTTTAAAAAGCACAAATATTTTTAAAGTATAATTATGTATATAACATTTTATAGTCAACAATAAAGTTGTTTATCAAAAGCTATGCATGCATAAATATGTCAATTGGACTTTTATAAAACTTCTGCGTACTTTATCATTATTATTCAAATCATGGTGAATTTTATAATTATCGTGCTGTAAAATTAAATTTGCTATACTTATGATACCACATGTGCTTTAAAGTTTTGATTGGTTCCCGGATTTTCTACAAATAAAATAGAATATTATAAAAAAAAATTTTAATATAAAATATATAATTAAAATTAACTTTATATTTTTATTTATACAGAAAAATTATATTTCGTCCCTTGCTAAAGCTCGGTAGAAAAAATCTAAACAGGCTTGAAACTTCACGATAAAGGAAAAATGTCTGTCCCAAAATTTTATAACACTGCAAACCAAAATTATAGTGTTAAAAATAGATTATATAATTCCATTTTTCACCGGGACAGTGCAATTACACAACTCTGTTGGGTAGATTTTCAGATTTGATGCTAATTCTTCTTTTTATTGTAAAAAGTGAATCCGACCGTAGAGATGGACCATTTTCAGGCTAAACATTAATAAAAATAGATTAAAAAACGTAAAGTTTCCCTTCATATAAATATATTGTCATGTCCAATTTACAATGATACACTTAACAGCTTTGCCTGATCAAGAATGAGTAAGCTTTACATGTTTTTCTTCTTGGACTGTAATTTATTTTTAATTATGATTTTAAAAACGACAAAATTAAAAGTTTACATGATACTGTTGGGAATTGGGCTTGACCTTTTATAATTGTCGGGACACTTGAAATAAAAACGACAGTCCCTTGAACAGTTTAAAGGGAGTGACCGGTTATGTAAGGTAGTTAAACTGAGTATGCAGTGTTGTGGAAAACTTCTTTCGGATTCATTTGAGACATATTAAACTTTTAAAGATCTGTAAATCCTGAGTTTGAGCGGAAATTCGAGTTCAAAATTCCTACTTTGGGGATGGATACGTTTTCAGAATTAGTTTCTTTTTAATTATTAAATTACGACAGCGAAAAATAAAGTAAAAATTATACAGTAATCTAATTAGATGAGTTTGAACATATTTCTCAAAAGAAATTTGTCAATAAATCAAAGCTAAAATCGATTTCGCTCTATAATTATATTGAATTTCTTATCTTCTTTAAATTTATTTGCAGATTTCTTCAAATTCTTTAAATGTCATCTTTTCAATAATGGTTCTAGAAAATCAGCGAAAATCTTTGTGAATAATGAGAAACCAGAATAATGAGAAAATAGAAACTAATAATTGAACAAGATTGCTTATTTTCGATTATAAGATTAATTTCTATTTTCTCAAAATGTTCTTATACATGACGTCTCTAGTTTATTGTAAAACTTTTTTTAGATTTTAGGTCGTCGTTATTTAATAATTTAAAAAAACTAATTCTGAAAACCTATCCACTCCAAAAGTAGGAGTTTTGAATGTCGAATTTGCGCTCAAACTCAGGATTAACAGATCTTTAACAAGTTTAATATGTCTCAAATGAATCCGAAAAAAGTTTTCCACAACACTGCATACTCAGTTTAACTTCCTTCCCTTTAAAAAGTTACGTGATAAAAGGGACATAATTTCATAATCTATTGTATTTCCCCACCTTTGGTAAATTGATAACATAAGACACAGTTTCGTCTTCAGTAGACAACATTTCATTCATATATGCCTCTAAAATAATATAAAATAATAAATGTTTTATGAAAATAAAAATCTGTAGAAAATGCCTAAACTCCTATATATTATGTAACAGCTCAAAAATGCTGTGTCAAACTCTATCCTCTCTACCTATCCAGGCATATATGATCCATAAATAACATGAGTCTGTGTTGAACCTTCTATATTTAGATATAAAAGGTACAGGTAAATAATTTGATTGCAACTGGGGTCAGGGAACTGAATAATGTATATTTACAGGTTACAAAGATTTAAATATAACATATAACATATGCTCCAATGTCTCTGGACTTCTGGCAATCCTTCAGCCCGCTCCAGTACAGTGGAGTTATAGGATAACATTAATAAATAAATAATTCCATTGATCCATTTATCATTTCCTTGATCCACTGATAACCTTCACCTAACATTATGAGTCCCTTTCCTCCTTTCTCAGCAGTGCCCACTCTAGTATCACTCTTTTCTAACATTTTCCCCCCGACCATCTTCCAAAATTAACTTGACACTAAAGGTCCTTTCACTAAGTTGCAATGTCAACTGAAGCTAATCCATTAATATCTCTCTTAAACAGTTTATATTTAACATATGAGGTTCTACGGTTGTCTTTCTTGGAACTATTCATATTATTCAAGTTCATAATCAAATCTTCCTCCCAACTCTTCACTTCCTTTCCGAACTCGCTCTGAGGCTTCAAACTTCCTATTACTTCCGGATTTAATTTACGGATATTTAAATGAAAACGTTTATTTATTGAATTATAATTAGAATTATTCACACAATTAGGCTTCTTAATTTCCAGGATTTCCAGCCATCTGGTATTGGAACCCTTCAGGGAAAAACTGCATCAGGAGCTAACTTGATGATCAACCTTTGCATCTCCACCATAGATTTAGCCATTTCCGCCAACTGTCCGCCTCCTACAGCTCCATTCTCTTTTCTCCAATTATTCCCCTCTCCCCTGCATTCTCGTGAGATTTGACCATCCTTTCCACAATTATAGCAGAAAATTGGCTTCCTGTTGGAACTTCCATACTTCCTGTCTGGGTTTTTCTTCTTCCACTCTTTGTACTTTCGGCAATCTCTCTTCTGATGTTTGGTCTTCTTGCAAAAATAACAAGCCTCTCCGCCTTGCATTGCGTTGACATCACCCTAGATGTCCTTCTCTTCATCATCTGACTCTTCCAATACTAGTCCAGGCATAGCATTAACATCCATAGGGACTTGTCCTGTCTTCAACATCTCATCAGACCTCCTGCTGTTTCCTGCCTTTTCAAAGCTATATGTGCTCCTTAGACCTGCCTTATCATGTGAAAGTGCCCTTGGATCAATGTTGTAGGTTCTCAGGTTGACCAGCTGTTGATCCAGAACTGCCTTTATCTCACTTTTGTGGTGTATATCTTTGAGCATAAAAACAGGCATGTTTTCTTCAGTTTAGCATTATTAACCAAATAATCATAGAATTCTAGAACTCTACCAGGCTCCTCTTACATTTCCTGGCATCTTCAAGGCTTTCCTGTTTCCTGGTCATATATTCCTGTTTCCTGCCTTCCTCATCTTTCTCTTGCAAAAACTTCTTCAGCAGTTCCTTGACAAATTCTCCTATTTCATAATTTGCAAATGCTAAACCAGAAGCATGCAACAGCACTATCTCTTGCCTGGCTGACCCCATGATGCAGGCCAACAGCATCTTTTTCACTTTATCATTTGAGATTGGTTCCCAATCATGGGTATCCAAATATGTCTCCAGTTTCTTGCACCATTTGAACACTGTTTCTGGATTTCCATCATATTTTGGGGCGGCCTGTGTGAAATCTAACAGTCTCTTCTTATATTCAGCTGCAGCCCTGCTCCTGTCTATCTGTAAAGTACCTCGTCTCGCTATAATTTCCTCTTGCAGGGTTCGCAAGTACTCATGTGTCTCATCCATTAACTTAGGTGGCTCCAGCATTGCTTTCACTCTTGCAATTGAGTCATGCATTTCTGGTCTAGCATTGTTCTCCCATGTCTGGATAAACCCCCTATCTACTTCCTTCTAATCACTGCTTGTAGTTCCTTCCATAGTGCTTCCATTTCCACTTCTAATTGGTTCCCTTTCGCCATATCCGGGTCTGTATCCAAGTCATCACTCATCACAGGGTAGTGTATTGCATATATTAAACTATTCCACTGTATCACTTGTAGCAGCATTGCTTTGCTGATGTCATGTAGGTCTCAATTCCCCTTGAGGTATATTTTCCCTTGCTTACGTTTCCCTTGCTATACTGCTCAAAATTGATGGGCACATTCAAATAATTTTTGTTCATGTTGAAAATATTGCTCGTTCACATAAACAATGCCCATCTCTAGTCTCTTATTCATAAAACCCCATTCAAATTTAGAATAAAAAAATAAAAAAATATACGAACACACTTTTTGAGCAGATTTAAAAATGTGCAGGAAACCAAATAAAATCTTACCCATTGGATAAGCAGGTTCATTATGCTTTAAAATATCCAATCCCTGTATTTCCTCTTTTTGAGTGGCTCGGAACAAATTCACCATCTAAAATACGTGAAGATAAGACGTGAAGGTAAAAGGATGGTCAACAGCGAACATTCAAAAGTATTTATTTGTCTTATCTTTTAAGTATCATTAAAGATTACTTTTTTCGTTAGAAACTACACAAATGGTCAATTATGTGAATTTCGTCTTTATACAAAGTTTAAATATTGATGTTTGTTTTACTTTTTAAACTTCAATATTTGACATTATTAATTACTTTTTCAAGAAAGATTAATTTAAATATACAAGAATGTTGAAGTTCAAATATTGATGATTTTTGTGTACTTTTTGTATATTCTTAGTATCTAAATTTATTTATTAGATACTTATTAGATACTTATTAGATACTTATTTCAAGAAAGATTATTAAATTTAGGAATCAGGATACACAGAATTTGACGAAAAATTGTAACTCTTTAAAGAAAAATGACAATTTTAACTGTCCATTGCTTTAATAATTTCTGCTTGTAAGTACAGGGTTTCCTACAAAGAATGAGACTTCAGAGACCACTGTACAGGATTTAGTTAGCTCAGAATAGAAGAGTTTTAAGTTGTTATTGAAGTCTCATCCTTTTATGGTAACTTGTAACTCTTTATTAAAAAAAGCTAAAATCCAGACGTTTAATTCTGTTTAACGAGATCTTTCAGCTAATTTAAAATTTACATAATAACCTCCCCCCCCCCCCCCCCACCTCCAATTATTTGTAATAAAGAACTAAACTTAGAAAAATATCTATAAAGTGCCAAAATGCTTAAAAGTTAACCATTTCGAAAATTCTCTTGTATACAGGATGTAAACATTCCCAGAAATGGTACCTTCCACATTATTTAATTTTGAAAACACACTTTAAAATATTTGTAAAAATGAGTTACCTTGAGGGCTTTGAAAAACACGATAGCGGACGACATATTCCAGGCTATTATAACCAGGACTGCTATACAGTTCCAGAGAAGCATCTCTAGGGATCTACTTGATCCACCAGTAAACAGAACACCTAGATATTTTAGGATATTATAATCAGGACTATACATTTCCAGAGAAGAATCTCTAGGGATCTACTTGATCCACCAGTAAACAGTACACCTAGATATTCCAGGATATTATAACCAGGACTATACAGTTCCAGAGAAGCATCTCTAGGGATCTACTTGATCCACCAGTAAACAGAACACCTAGATATTATAGGATATTATAATCAGGACTATACAGTTCCAGAGAAGCATCTCTAGGGATCTAATGATCCACCAGTAAACAGTACACCTAGATAATCCAGGATATTATAACCAGGACTGCTATATTGTTGCACAGAAGCATCTCTAGTGATCTACTTGATCCACCAGTAAACAGAACACCTAGATATTCCAGGATATTATAACCAGGACTATACAGTTCCAGAGAAGCATCTCTAGGGATCTACTTGATCCACCAGTAAACAGTACACCTAGATATTCCAGGATATTATAACCAGGACTAAACAGTTCCAGAGAAGCATCTCTAGTGATCTACTTGATCCACCAGTAAACAGTACACCTAGATATTCCAGGATATTATAACCAGGACTGCTATACAATTCCAGAGAAGCATCTCTAGGGATTTACTTGATCCTCCAGTAAACAGTGCATCTAGATAATCCAGGATATTATAACCAGGACTGCTTAATCGTTACAGAGAAGCATCTCTAGTGATCTCTCATACTTGACCCACCAATAAACAGAACATTATGGTTTCCAGTAGCAGCAAAATTTTGCAAACAAATGCGCAAAAGGTTTTCAATTTGCCTGCGTATTCTGCAAACTTTTTCTGAAAATTACATTAAGAATTAGGTGATATTTTATACTTGTTTTGTTCTATATGCCTTTACAGAATAAAAAATAATGAGACGCATGGGTTTTTCCTGAGTGATTAGATCTATAGCACTGCTATTTAAAGTTTAGAACCGGTCATCTTCGTATTGAATCACCTTAAGAGCATTGGAAAAATTTCTAATATTTAGTTCGAATTTACAAACAGAAATTTTTGGTTAAATAAATTTGTGGAATATTCTTAACAATCTGTTTTTAATTTTAAACAAAATTATTACAAAAAAAATATTAAGTATTTTTTTTTTGCTTTTCACATTTTGGTTCCTTTCTTAAACTACTGAAACCAATTCAACTAAAAGTGGCAAAATGGACATAAAAGAATTCCTTAAAAAAATATACATAAATACCGTTATTCATGAAGATGGGCGATGCTATCATTCCAACCAGCCCTCCGGCAAAATGAACAGCTACAGCATCAACAGGGTCATCAACCTTCAAAGAGACTGTACGTTTAATTTTGAATATCCCTTTTTGCATATAAATGTGGAAGATACCTTCTTTTTAACTAAAAAAGTGTTTTATTCTGTCATTGCTTGTAATCAGCAATAAATGTGCAAACTACTTCGCAGAGAACCCGTGAATAAAAATAAACAGTAAATAACCCATTTTCATTAATTACATTCCCGAATCAGAAACTGTATTTCTGGAGGCAAAAAACAAAATCACTACCTTAGAAGTATTTCTGATTTAAATGAAGCAACCAACGTCTGCCTATTATTTTGTCAGATAATTGATAAATTTCTTAGGAAATTTAATCTGAGTAATTATGAGAAAGATTATTGTGTTATGGTTTGAAAGGAATAAAATAATGCATGGTTTTCAAATTTGCATTTAAATTCCATGTAACAAAGGACCATTTGTCCAAGATTTTAAGCTGTATATACTTTTACTTAAAAATGAATGTTTGGGGCAAGTACTTCTTTCCTTTCCCAACATTTTACTGAATTAATTACCTGCATTCGAATCATTAGTTTTGATGTCACAAAATACGCACAACCTGCTATTCCTGAATTAAATACAACAAATTTTAATCCCAAAAGAAGAGGATTGAAACTGCACTTTTAGTCATTAATCGGACTGTAAAGGAAAAATGAAAGGGGAAAAAGGCTCAAACCTAAACACTTTAGTAGTTAATCGCAACCTCTATCAGTTCTATCTGATGTTCCGGTCTCATGAGAAATTATTGTAAAAATGTGTTCCTGTTATACCAAAATTGATATCTATGAGTTGTGGTATGGCAATCAAAGTTTTAAACAAATCATATTCAGCAAATACGCAACGAATATGAAAATTAAGATTACCCAGGGGAGTTTTACAGGGTAGGCCTCTCCTATTATAATTTGAATATATTACTTATTTATTTTTGATAGATTTAATTAAATAAATATTTGATACGTCAATATCAACTGACAGCCAGAATTTCCACCAATGGCAGTGTCATATCATTGTCATGTGATACAGACAGAGACACAAAAATACCCTTTATACCTTTGACTGATAAAGATTGACATATCCTCATTAAACTACTAAAACATTTTAATGCTTAACACTTTGTTATTAAGCTGTTTTATACATATTTAAGACATAGCAACTTTTTGAAAGTGAAAGAAATGAAAATTTACTTTCGAATGTATGAAAAACAGTTAAATAACAGAAGTAACAGATAACCTGTTTGATTTCAGACTGTACACAGCGTATAGTCACGTTTTAGAGGACTTCAACATGTTTAATCAAAAAGATCTCTGGATTTACCAGTCAAAGATTTCTAGGGAATTGTTGTGAATCTTTACATTAGGGTCATTTGAAATTACAGTCCCTTTAATTCCCATGTTTAATGGAAGACTTTGCACCTGACACAATACAGACAATCAAAGGATGAAAACCGTCAGCACCAGAACATATTGAAACCATTCCAATCAGACTTCCATTCATCATCTTGAGATAAAATCTTGTAAGTTCTAACTTAAGAATAGCAGGGGTTCCTGTGTTTTAAATTTGATTGCCAAACAAAAAAACTAAATATTTACTTTTCATTGTTTTCCTGAATTTTTGCCAACATTTTTCTTTATGGACATTTGTTTGATTTAAAAATGGGTAATAGTTTAAAATTACATTAAAAGAATGCTCAAGAAAAATTGTCCTGTAAAATATTCGTGATTAAGATTTTTAACTGGTCAAATTGATTCACTGAACTGGCAAAGTTATTGATCAACAGTGAATCATAAAGTGGTCACTGGTCACCGGTCACTAGCAGATCAAAAATAGGTAACTTCTCATCGGTCATTGGTTATTGGTCACTATAGATGATGGATATCAGTTACCTTATTAAGCGACCAACTACCCCCAGGTGTAAGTTTGACAATAAAAAGAACTACTCCGCCACCAACACAGCAGGCTATCAGGGTAGATAGAACTGCATGAGCAACTATATCACCATCTTCAGCGTTGGATATAGAACCCTACACAAAGTTTAGAGATTGTTCATTAATTTAAAAAAGGAGATTAAACAAACATTTCCATAAAAATGGCCTCTCCATGTGAAAGGGTTATTTAATGCCTTTCATCATAAGTATTGGACACCCAGTTTAATTATTCAGCTTCAATTACAGTTTATAGTGCTGCTATATGCAAAAATGTTTACTCTATCACATAAAAAAATAAGCCTAAACCAAGCAAACCCAATTGTTTTCTTTAAACTTGTTCAGGCCCATATATTAAATATCTTTTCAAAAGTAAAAATTTTTGCCAAGCATAAAAAAAAAACATTTTAGCCCGTTTTAGATATGTTAGGATGTGAAGCCTTTTAAAGATCAAAACACCTTGAATGTGCAAAAAAAAAGTATTTCCATCACTAGGTTAATAGTCCTACTCTTACTTGTGATCCTCCATTGAATGCCATGAAACCGAACAAGATTATAAAGACTCCCAGTGAGATCAAGGGCATGGAATGCCCAGAGTAAGGATTTTCTGCTTTCTGAAATAAATGACAAATAAAATTTAGTTTGATAAAATAAAAATTCATGTTTTAAGAAATTTAATCTGGGCCCAAAACTTGTAAATAGCTTGAGAATAAAGTTAAACTACGAAAACTGAGTTATACAGAGTTTAATTTGAACTGGAAAGAAGTGGTTCAACTTAGTTGACTCTTGGTTCAATCACTCCTCGACACCATTTCCCTTTGTTTACTGATCAAGCAGTGGCAGAATCTAATGAACTAGGCTTTTAAGGCGCTTCGTGCTCATCTTCAGGTTGAGTTTCTGCTTCTGGAGTCCTAGGTCTGACTGGAGCTTCTAGCTGCTCCAGATATGTGAAAAGCTGTCTTGAAAGAGCAGTGTCTCCAATATCAGGATGGGGCAGCATCTGGAATTCTGGATATCCTAGTTCTTCTCAGTATCCTGTATATCCTATTTCTCCTCTGTATCCTGGATATCCTATTTCTCCTCTGTATCTTGGATATCCAAGTTTTCCTCTGTATCCTGTATAGCCTAGTTCTCCTCTGTATCCTTATGGATAGTTCAGATGGGCTGTTTGTCCAGTTCCAGAAACTAAAGTAGATAAATCTCTTAAGAATGTATATTCATGGATAATGATGTGGAAGGAGGCTGGTGTCCTCCTTAGTCCTCTGGTAGACATGATAAAGATACATCAGCCCGATAGCTGTCTAAAAGTTCAGGTCACCAGGCCCTGGTTGGATAAATGGAGCTCAGCTCAGGCGTCTATCCTATACAGGGTTCCCAAGTGCACTTGTCAATCTCCAGGTTCTATATACTTCCATATCTTCAGAAATATGGGCGAGGAGTTTTAGTAGGAGTAACTATGCCTTGAATACTACAAAGCAAAGTATATCTATCTATATATAAATCTGGCTTGTCTGTTTGTCTGTCTGTCTGTCTGTTTGTTTGTATCCAATAAACGTCAAAACGGCTGAACCGATCAGGCCCAAATTTTTTGTGGGACATCTAGGGACTCCATTTGTTTTACGATGTACACAAAGAGAACATGTTCACAATTAATTTAGGAGATGGGCGCGAAGCGCCCTCTAAAGCTAAAAAGAAGGGCGCGAAGCGCCTTGAATTTCTAGTATAATAAAACAGGACATTTCTAGATATATGTTGTTGCCTATAGCCGGCTAAAAGACTGGACCGATTTGGCTGATTTTTTTTGTGGACACTCATGGTGGCCAGGGAGTATTAAAGGCTAAAAAAATTCCACAGGCAATGCCGGGCCCTTCAGCTATTATAATATATATAGATTAAATAACCAGAGATGGAATTTAAACAATTTGAGCCACGGTTTAAATCCGCGAAAGTCCGCCCGAACCCGTTTTAAATTTAGCGCCGGCTTAAATCTTTAAACATTTGATACAATTTCAAGTGGAACCAACCATATTTAAGCCCCGGCTTAAATTTAAACCGCTGCTCAAATTCTTTAAATTCGGCCACAGAGATAAACCAAATCTCTTTCAGTTAAATCAACTACTTAAGAGTCAAGAGAAGTTAATTGATTAAGTCTTTATTGGTCAATTATTTCTCGAATTGAGTCATTTCTTCACAAACTTTAATTTTCTAATCCCAATATCTTTGAAATCTAATGTCGTAGACCTTAGATATAACAAACTATTAATTCTGTTAGAGAAAATAACTTTAGTGTGAAATATCAAAGGCTTACATCCTAATTCATCAGGTTACAAAGATAAGGGTATTAGTAAAACTGAGTTTGAGAGCAACAGCTACCAGGTTTCCAGTGAAAAATAAATTTCCGCTGAAAATTAAACATTTTTTTTTGCATTTCGTTCGCTTGAGAAAGATGCAACAAAGCGAAAATTTTGCAAAAAGAATATGGAAGAGAATTTTGCAGATTTTTTTTTTGCTAAATTTCGCATTTTTTTGCTTTATCCATTTTCGCGAAATTTCGTTCACCGGAAACCCTAGACAGAACCAATTAAGAATAGAAAGTTGAGTAAACCATAATGAAGTGTTTTTTCTTAAATTATATTAACCTGAGATCCATGATTAAAGCGACCAAGACGAGGTCCAAGTATATATGTGGCTACGAGAGCAATGCTTCCTCCTGCTAAATGTACCACACCGGATCCAGCAAAATCATGAAACTCTCTAACAAAATCATAAAACTCTCTAACAAAATCATGAAACTCTCTAACAAAATCATGAAACTCTCTAACAAAATCATAAAACTCTCTAACAAAATCATGAAACTCTCTAACAAAATCATGAAGCTCTCTAACAAAATCATGAAACTTTCTAACAAAATAATTATTAATTAAATGGACTGTAAACGTAATTTTAAGTGACGCTCTCTACGAAAATAGTAATGTCAGATTCACAGAACCCTGATCAATAATGTGGAAGATATTGCATTTCTTTAGGTTTAAAGTGTTTAACTCTGATATTTCCTTTATGTTTCTGCACTAGAAATGGGCAAGTCAATTTTGTAAATAATCAGTTTTTAAAATCATAAAAAATACTAATAATTCATGCCAGAACAGACAAAGATTTTAAATGTACATTCTGTTATAAATCAGGCATTGCAATCTTTGCATGGTGAAATATGTACTATTACAATTAAATTTTAAACTATAAACTAAAGTTGTCTCATTCAAGTCATTGTAATTGTAAGTGACTCTTCATGTGAAAAGTGGCATTTCCGATTTACACATAAATCCGTTAGTTAATTCTACAAAGAAAATTTATTAATTTTCATAGATATTTATTGGTGCTCTATCAGCCTAAGGTTTAAAATGAAAACGTTGTGAATCTGACATGACGCTCTATAAAAGGGCAACTTGAAAGCAGTCCTTTAATCCCTTGAATATATGGATAAACATAAAATTATATTTTCATGTTGGGCGAGAAAATTAAACCTAAGGAATGGTATTTTAAAACTCTGAATACAAGAAATAAGACAATTAAATAAAAATTGAAAAGGCTTGTTTTTAAATTCTTAAATGATGGTCTCTAAATTAACTGTTTACTTTTTGACTTTACAATTGTTAAACAATTCAGTAAACATTCAAAGCTTATATAAGCTGAATAGCACTTACAAGGTATAGGATTTTCGGTTTTTACAACAACAAAAAAACGAATGATCGCTCTTCGCCAATCAGGTTAATTAGTAGTCCATTATGTTCTTTGATATTTGCTTATTGTTTGTTATATGCTATATCTATGAAAAATCACAGAACTTGATTGATAGAGAAACTAAAATAAAAGATTTGTGATTGTGATTATTTTGCTTAACGTTTTAAAAGTTGCTTACGTTTGCGCGAGCCAGCCATTTGCATTCCAGCCCCAATGTGCTTGGATTGGATATATAACTCCTGTTACGAAAACACAGAAAATAATATATCCATTGTAGTTACTTCGCTCAGCTATAGCCCCAGAAACAATGGTAGTGCAAGTTGCAGCAAAGGTTGCCTGAACAAAACAAAAACAATTAATAAAATTGTCATTCCAAAAAATATCGGACAATTTTAAATTTTGTTTTACATTTTCTGAAATTAAAGCCTACACGGCTTTGCATTTTTAGACAAATTGGTAATTGTTTTAAAAATGACCTCTAACCCCATAATTGACATTATGTAAAATGTGCAGGGTAAAGCATAATTTTTAATTTACATGCATTTGGTAGGTAAATTAAGATTTAGGATACCAAGAACTTCTCCCAGAAAGTTTATTTTAAGTAATTAATTTCTTTAAACAAATTTTGAGAAATCCCCCATATCCTTCTTCCTACAAACCTCCTTATCTCTCTCCTACCTGCTCCACAACTCGATGTTAAAAGAACTATTTGGAAAGGCCTTACAGTGTAAAAACAAGAAACAAGAAGCAAGAAGAAAAAAATTGAACAGAAAAAAAGTGGAAGGGATATCTCTTGACAGTAGAGATGGGTGCTTAAAGCAAGATAAACAAGAAAGAAGAAGAAAACTTTGAACAGGAAAAATTAGAAGAGCTATATACTATCTAATTTTTTTCTAATAAAGACAAATACACAAAATGGCAGGCGTCCAATCCCCCCACTCTATGTTCTACTCAAGATAAAAACCTGGAAAATGTGTAAAACGCCCCCCTCACCCCTCTCCCCTCCCCCCCATCAAGAAAATTTCACTGAAAGTGTGTTATAGCTACGAATGCAGGTGCTGACGCAGTAACATGACCCAAGCAAAATTTAAAAATAAACAAGGGAGAGAGTAACCTTGCCACTCTCAGAATATAGAATATAGATACAGGGCTCCAAAAAATAGTTCTGCCTCTGCAACTTTGCTAGCTGCAGAAAACATCCAATAAATTAATTTATTTTTATTTTCAAAATTAGCCAAAGCATGATTGAGGAATGGATGAGGAATGGACGATCAAGAAGAAAGAATGAAAAACAAGAAATATAGAAGTCTCAAAATGTTTCCATCTGATATCATATTGAAATTCAAAAATACTGTAAAATTTAACTAAAATAAATTGTTACAGTTAAAAATAGTTAAATAAACTTGATTATCAGAGAATTTTTAATGTAAACAGATACTTAAAATTTTTAAATGATGGTCTCTAAATTAACTGTTTTTGACTTTACAATTGTTAAACAATTGAGAAAACATTGAAAGTTTAGATAAGCAAAGAAATCAATAATTTTGATAATTTTAACATAACCTAACCTGAAAAAAGGCATGAGAATATTGTTTAGGTGGTAACCCTATCAAACAAAAGTATTCAAGACCTATAAAACTATTTCCTCCTCCTCCTCCGAATGTAAAAGCATATCCAAAAGCAAAGTAAGCCGGAACACCTGAAAAAGAAAAATCATTTCAACATCAAAAACTATGAATTTGCTATGACAAGAATTTGTACATGAAAAATACAAATGGAACAATTGTTAACATTTTTACTTCAAAAAGGCATAAAATGAAAATTAAATTAAGAATTATGAAATAAAACACTTTTTGAATTTGCATTTAAGCAAATAATGTGCCAGTAAATTTACATACATGAAATTGTTACTACAGAAAAATTTTATCTTTCACGCACAAAACAAGGCAACTGATCTCAGTTTCGATTAATTGGTTCATTATTTTTTCAAAAAAATATTTCTTTCCTTTTTTTTAGCTGGTATCTTCAAAAAAGTGCAGAAATTTGTTCTTACCAAAAACAATTTCTGAGAAATTTTTTGTAAGTATATTTGTTACATTTTTACTCCGAACACTTCCTGCCTCTAGAAAAGCAAACCCAGCCTGACAAATAATTACAAATTACTAAGCTTAATAGATTATTTAATAATCCAGAGATGGAATTTAAAGAATTTGAGCCATAATAATCCAGATTATTCATTAATCCAGATTATATAATAATCCAGATCATTTAATAATCCAGATCATTTAATAATCCAGATCATTCAATAATCCAGATCATTTATTAATCAAGATCATTAATTAATCCAGATAATTCATTAATCCAAGTAGTGTACTGTCCCAGTTTGTCTCATATTGTCTGTATTTGTACTGTATGTACTGTATGTACTGTATGTACTGTACGCTACATTTTATATAATGTCATAAAAAAGTTTTCCAACGTTGATCTCAAGAAAAAAGATCATTTCTGTGTTTTAAAAAAATTTCAAAGAATACAAAGTATAAAAAACAAACCTGCATAAAAAGGATAATACATCCCATCATAACCAGGAAAAAGTTATCCATGTTGTCTTTCAGCTGCTGCATCTCCGATGGTGTAGTCTGAATGATAATGAAGTGAATGAAAGTAATATACATATTAGGGTGAAGAGGATTCAACAAATAATTTGTGGGTGCATATAAAGGTTCTTAGAATCATTTTCAATATGAGCATTTTGTAAACATTTTGATTGATTGGAGAATTGCATCAGGTGCAAATCGATTTCCGTTTTTCGGCAAAATCTCGATTTTTTATGGAGGTTTATAACCTCCCAAATTTTCTTTGTACTGTGTAGACGACCACATGCAAGTGGAGGCTGCATGCAAATTTTAGCTTTTTATCTCAATTTTAAGAACCAAATGGTGCCTGCAAAAAATGTGGTGTCACCAAGTGCTGTACAGCATACTGCCCTCCAAACCTTAATAAAATCGAGATTTTTTTCCTAGGACTACTTCCACGTACTTAAGTTCATCAAGTTAGAGCAAAAAATGCTTTTTTATTTTAATACCAAGAGCTGTCATCACCCGGAGAACCTATGCACCTTTTACAACTTTTATTTCTTTGTGTGTCACCCTCATATTTATTTGTGTATTTATATATACACCCCACGCCGAAAACAATTTAGTTGAGACTTGAGAGCATGTAGTAAATGCCCTAATCCATAAAGTCTTGCAGACGCTTATCAATCCAGATACAACTCAATCAGGAATTCACGGTTCCAAAAATTCCACTATCAATATCAATTCAGACACAACTTTTATGGGTGCCAATACTGGTTTCCTCTCGTTATGGTTGACGAGGCATAAGAGCTATTCAGTTCATTAATACTTCACTAATGTCAATCCTGATACAAGTTTATTTGTATTGATACTCGTTCCCTCGCTTTATGGTTGACAAGGCATAACAGCTATTCAGTTCAGTTCTTTACTTTTAATGTCAATCCTGATACAAGTTTATTTGCATTGATGCTTGTTCCTTCTTGTTATTCAGTCCAGTAATACTTTACTATCAATGTCAATCAAACACAACTTTATATGTATTGATTCCCAATCTAGTTCTATGTTTCAAGAGAGTGATTCAGAACGCTTCTCGTTTGCTAACCAAGAAGAATTACTCTCTCACCATAATCAAAGCAGAGTATTTTCGAACTGAATGTATTTTGGGTTCTATCTTACAAGTTAAGTTAATCAATATAATTACAAGGTTGACACACGTTATATACAAGCGTAGTTAAGCTTTTCATAATACAGGTTTGACATAGCTAGGTTATGTTAATCGCAATACAAGTTTTGCATAGCTAATTACAAGCGTATTTAGATTTACAGACAATGTACATCTTAATTTATCTAAGTACTATAAATATTTGATACAAGCAAAGATAAAAAAAAGTTTAGGGATTTTGTTAAAAAAAAGTCGTGGATTTTCAAAATTATAATGAAAATCGAATTTTGCTAAAGGCTGATTTTTGAAATTATTATCTCTTATAACCATCCCTGGGGTGGAGTCATATGAGGTCCCACACAAAATTTGGGCCTGATCTGTTCAGCCGTTTTGACGTTTATTGGATACAATCAAACAGACAGACAAGAAAAGTATATAAATTATATAAAGATATAAACTAACAAATGAAAAGTAAATATAAAAAATAAACTAATATTTCATGAATGGAATGCACGTTAAACTAACTGCAGTGCATGATGCAATGTACATATCATATCTGTATCGGAATATTTTTAGTCAAAGTCTGATCTCTCATTCAAATATATGCCACAAATAACATGAGGAACCTTAAATACTTAATTATTTGAACAAAAAGTTTAACAAAAGTAAAAAGTAGCAAATATAAAAAAAAAAATGTTTATTTTACTTGAATTAACTCTTAGCAGAAGTTTAAAGCGAATGTTTGTTTAAAATGCCTGTTTAGTAAATTAAAAGGATATAAGATAATACAAACTCAAGAATCTCTTGATGGCAAGTTTGAAAAGGTTTTAACATTTGGCCTTGAACTGGGAAATTAGGAAGATGGCAAATTTAAAATGAAAAATATTGTGTCTCGTCCCACCTGTTTAAAAATGAAAATATAAGTTGTTAGCAAATAAACCTGAACTAAATTGTCCAATAGAGTGGAAGACGACTGCGTAGTTGGCAACAACTCGAGTTCAGACAAATACTCCATTTGTTGGGAAAATATTGAACACGACTTTATCAACTGCTAAAAGAAGAATGATAAAGGTACTCTAAGAGAAGGTTGCCTGATTCTAATCTTTAGAATATTTATGATCTCATTAACAATCCCTGACGATATCATTGATTAACTTTTAAACAAGCATCATGGTTACAGAAGGATAGGCAGATTTAAAACTTTAAAAAAGTTTTACTTGAGTAAGTACAAATCTATCTTTTTTCTAAAAGTTAAGCTGTTTATCTGACGTAAATCTAGACAACTTTACAAAGTTGCATCAATTTTCATGACCGGGTCGGATTTTAACTTAAGTATCGGAACTCCTTGGCTTTTGATATTATCTCACTATATCTAACTTTATTTTTTTGTATCGTTAAACATAGACATTATTTAATGTGGAGCATTTAGGTTATGGACAAAGGAATTGACTCTTTGCAACAAACTCTGATTTTCTAATCCCTATAGCTTTGGATTCCAACGTCGTAAACCTTTGAAATTTCAAACTATGACTTTTGTTAGATCAAAAAATATAAATATGAAATATCAAAGGTTTACGACACTGGGTTCCAAAGATATTGGGATTGGAAAATCAGAGTTTGTGGCAAAGAGTCAATTCCTTTCTCATTAGGTTCTGCGCGCGTGAAAGCTTGCAACCTTTGTATCACTTAAATCTATTATCATCTATTACGTTTATATATCGCCTATGAATACGATTAACCAACTCGAACTCGACTATATACTGACCAATAATAAGTAATGTTTGATATGGTTTATAATATGCTTACATATAAATATGATCTAACTAAACAGCATGGCTCTTGAATTTAAATATTTGTTTTAAATATAAAATTTTAGTTTTGCAGTTTAGCACCAAGTCCACTAAAAGTTCCGAGCTCCTCAGTCACAAAAATCAATTTAGCATGACAGCATGACAGGTTCAAGGAGTTAAAAGAATATTTAAGTAAGATCGAGGTTGTTACTAAAAATTTAAGAAAACGAACAGTCTGCCTATGATTTCATCCATGTAATAACTTCAGGGCGACCATAAATCAACCTCTAATAAACTGTTGATTAACCCTAAAAATGTACACTGTAGTTATTTAAATTTGTATTTGCCAAAATCCAAATGTATCCACTTACTATTCCCTAAAATTTGGACTGAAGTACAAATTAAGATAGTCAGAGCACATAAAGTCTAACTTAATCATGTAGCAAATGACTTACTCCAATAGTTTCTTTTAAGTCTGTACCAATCCAGGTATAGCCTTCTGCATTCTCAAGTATCTATCAATCGAGATACAACCTCTGCATTCTTAAGTATCTACCTATCGAGATACAACCTCTGTATTCATCAGTATCTATCAATCAAGATACAATGCTGTATTCATCAGTATCTTTCAATCGAGATACAACATCTGTATTCGTCAGTATCTTTCAATCAAGATACAACCTCTGTATTCGTCAGAGTTCCTTTAAAATACTGTCTTCAGACGATTTTAATGTTATGAAATTAACCTTGAAAAATCCAATGACAGCAATATTGTTCTCCTCCACGAAGGCCTTGGCAGCATGGACGGTTCCAAGGGTCTTGATCTTCTTCTCCAACCAGGAAACGATGGTTTCGGCTTACGACCACCATTGTATTCAGAAGCCTTTCCATTCATTAAAACAAAGGAATTAAGTCTTTGTCAAAAAAATCGTTCTCTAGGGCAGACCCCAAAAAAAGATTTTTTAAAAAAAGGAAAAACCAAAAAAAAATATGTTAGGGGTGGGGATTAATTAAACAAAAATAAATAACTCTAGGATTTTCTAAATATACTTTTTAAAACAGAAATTGCACTGAAATAAACATTTAAATCCCAAAAATTAAATTAAACAAATTTGTAATGCTGACCTTTTTGAAAAAACAGGGACCAAGAACTCAGCGACCAGTCAACTTAGAGGTCCAATTTTTTTGTGGAAGTAGATATTAACCCCCTCTACAACTTTGCATTTCATCAATTTGCTCTCAGAGTACTTTAGATATAAATTACAAAACTAACCTAACCTAACCTCACTGAATCAGTCAATCACATATTTATTATTAATCAAAAGAATCACTTTTTGGGGTGCTCCTGACCCACTTCTAGTGCTCTTAGAGCAAAACGCAAAGTAACAAATGTTTGTTAGAAACTTGTAAAAAATTGAAGAGTTGTTGAAAAGCTTCAGCTGAGACAGTATATTTCACAACTTGAAAAATCTTGTTCATGTAACCACATAAGAATCTGAGTCTGAGTCCCAGACTCAGTGAGACACGCGGAGAAACAGGCCAAACTGGGGTTGGGGGGAAAAGGTCTTGGATGCAGTCTGGACTCAAGACCTCTCCTGACGCAGGAGGGGTGCCTGAAGAAAGGGATTTGAAGAAGGATACTCAAATATTTTAATGGATTTTTCTCATGTTACAGAATATTTGGTGAAATTTGATACTTTCTTGGAAAATTGACCGTCTTGGCGTGTCGTCCGGACGTCCATCATTATGGGATATGTCATTATTTTTAAATTTGTCCCATCTCTCACAAAGTTGTATCTGCATATTTCAATCCAGCTTTATGCTAGATAAAAAATGATTGGGTTGCATTGTCTATCTAGACATTTACATCGATCAGATGAAGGTTTAATTATTTAATTTAGAGGAAAGCTTACAAGAAAAAAGATTTCTCCGAGCCACAGTTTTAACACCTTTAAACGTAAGAACTGAACCTTATCTTAATGATTATCGAGATTACTCGACAAGGAAAACTTACTTCTTGAACGACTAAATTCATTGGCAAAGGCGTGATTAATCGCATAAACTTGGGTAATTGCCTCTCTTGACAAATGTTGTCGTCATTTTCAAATAGATATATGCTGATAGTATAAATGATCTAATACCAATAACTTTCAAACCTTAGATGTGCAGCTATGTTAAATGCAGAAAGAAAACATAATTATTTTCTTTCTGTATATTTTATCTTTAAATTGGAATGCTTTCAATAAGCATTCTCGACATTTATCGCCATGACAATTTTGTCCCAATTGGCAATTAACTTCTCTAGCTATGCACAATATGCTAAAGTTTGATCTCTTGAGCTTCTTAAAGAATGACGTCATTGCTATGACTTCTGTCCAAACTATGGGACACTATCAATTTTTATAGAAAATAGTTTATTCTTTATTTTGTTACAATTTAGTAACACACATTAATATACAAATGTAAATTGCGTTGATTAAGAGAGAATTTAGAGAGTTCAACATTACAATCTGAACATAAAAATTCAGATTTTAAAAAAAATCTATTTTTGAAAAACACTTAATAGATTTGTATGTATACGAATTCACATATAAAAAGTAGGGAGGGGAGCGACTGATTTCAAATTTGTTAATCATTTTTAATATCCGTTTTCAAATAATTTTAAATCTGTTAACCATGTTTCAAATCTGTCCAACTGATTTCAAATCTGTTAACCATATTTCATATCTGTTAAACTGATCCCATGGGAATACAATGTATAAATATTTGTATATTTATATCTATCTTTCTATATGTACATATGAGAGAGCAGTCCTATGTTTCTTTAAATTTTCAACAGTTTGATTTGTATCCTCTTTGATATTACCTTTCTTTATTTTTTCAACATTTTCCTTCTTCTCTTTATGTTTACGCTTATTTTTGCTTTCTCTCTATCTACATAGTTGATGTACATTGATTTTTATCATCACAATTTATATTACATTCAATATCATTACAGTTAATGACATGAAACTTCTAGGTTTTACTAACCTTTGAATAATATATCAAAAATTAGTTGAGAGCATAATTGATTTATTGTATGCACTATAAATATATGTGAAACCAAACCATTAATGCGCGATCCAACTCATATATTTATGGTATTGACTATAAATATTTTGGTATATGTTTGTAGATTTCAAGTTATTTTTTGACAAGCATATATTTATAGTGTTTACTATAAATCAATAATATATTCTTATGTTGACAGCAACTCCTTTTCCATTAGTTAGGTTGCTGTCAACAAAAATATATAATTGATTTATTGTATGCACTATAAATATATGCGAAACCAAACCATTAATGCGCGATCCAACTCACATATGTATGGTATTGACTATAAATATTTTGGTATATATTTGTAGATTTCAAGCTATTTTTATATATTTATAGTGTTTACTATAAATCAATAATATACTTATGTTGACATATATATATATATAATGAAATAACTGAAATATAGAGCTTTCGAATGACACCTTGATCGTAAAAATTGAACGAAAATTGTTTCTTCAGTTACTAATACCCCTACTGCACAATTTATTTTTGAGACACCCTGTATAATCTGCGGTATTTAGATTAGATTTATAGATCTTATCATAGCTCCACCACTTTTGTAACAAATGCATCACTCCAAAATCTCTCTAAGTATATCTTATACTACAGTTAAAGCTCTCAGACTCTATCCTCTCTACCAAGACATGGTAGATCTAACCGTCAATAATCAGAGTCTATATCCAACTAAATATATTTAGATCTAATGGTACAGGTAAATAAAACTGACTAATAACTCAGTCAACAAACTACAACAAACATATATATATGTATACAGGGTGCAAAGATTTAGGGATATTACTATATTTATTACAGATGGTTATGTAAAAAAAACTACAGGGGGGGTCAATGACCCCCCCCCCCCAGCAGGAATAGGGTTAATATCATTATTGAACAGTTTTTAAAGATTTTTTAAAAGTATGTTTTCAGCATTGGGAATCGGGCATAGCCCGCTTTAAATGGAGGATCACTTTAAATTTTCACCGTGACTAGCTTAAAAAGTCATGACTAAAATTAACTGAACACACGTCAAAAACTCTAATTTAATAAATTACTATATCTTTACAACCAGATGGTGTAAAACTTTGAAATTTCAAAGAAACTAAAACTTTGTCACAAACTCAAATGATCTAATCCCTATATATTTGAAACCTGATAGTGTAATTTTTGATATTTCAAACTTAGATTATTTGATTTAACAGAATTCATATAGTTTGAAATATCAAAGGTCTACAACCAAAGTAAATAGATTATACATAGAGTGGAATTTACTCGAAAAAAAGAGTAAAACGGCCATTTTCTGTACTGTTTCCTTACTGCTTATGTACTTCACACATTTGGGCTATATAACCTTTTGGGCCCTGGAACATCATTTTATAGAATAGTTTTCTTGAAAATTATATTATTTTATCTAAATCATTTCTCTGATAGCCTGTCATGCAAACGCGAGTTCTTTTCGCCATAAGCTTCGCTAAGAATCAATTTCATGCTTTTATTTAGTAAAAATCATATTTTTTAATTTGAGGTAATCAAACAGTAAAACCAA